TCCTAATGATACCTTGTTTTGTAATTACTAAAAGCATCACAGTCCTTAGACAGCTGCTGACATACAGAAAATAAGGTCCTTGAAACTGTTTGTTTCATCATATTTTAAGAATTAGTACCTTAGGTCATGTTAATCAGTTTCTGATATATGTAGTTTTCAAAATGCACTTCAGGGAAGAAAATGTTGGAAATGACTAATAACAACAAAGATATGAACTTTATTCGTTATATATCTAGCTCCAAATGTGAACATTACCAAAGTACTTTGCCATCTTAAGTATTTAGGAAGCCTTAAATAAAAAATAAATCCACCTCATTCAGTGAAATAGAACATCCTCTTTTTCCAAGCAAAAGAGTTCAAATTTATTAATTTTGTAGCTATATTTTAAAATGAGTGTCAGCCCCTGCTAGATGACTACATGATAAGTGTCCTGAAACTTCAAGAAAAGGCACTAAATTTTTCACAGCATTTGTGTTTCATTTTCAGTGTAATAAAAATATGGTGCCCTTTTAATAATGAATAATAGATCTCCTGGTATGATTTACATGCGTGGATTAAATGTCATGTTTGAAAAGTTGCTGTTTTATTCATATTGAATTTCCCTCAAGTAAAACAAAATGGTACCCAGCTACTGTTATAATATTGCTAGTACCTTGCCACACTGATACATAAATATTAACTGGTTGATATACTCCTAAAAAATCTACAGATCTGTGAACTGTTCTGTCAGTAACTGTGGCTTTATATGCATATGAACTGATTTAGTGCTATCCTGAGTTCCAGGTATGTTGGGAAAATGCATAGCGCCAATACTAATATACTTCTGGAGCTCACTTTTTTTTTTTTTTTTTTGCTGAAGACCGCTTTGATTTAACTTATTCCATCTCACGCTGCAAAAAATCTGTCCCTCTTCTCATGTTGTGTACTTCACTTACATTCCTCCTTGACATCTGACAGTAGTTACACAGCATTGACCCAGCAGAGCAGCTGTTGTTATAGCCATCAGCTGAGGGATGTGATGTTCTGGTTGGTTTTTGGTGTTGACCTGTCTGCACTGACAAGTGCCATGTGGTGGCAGAGCGGTTCCCAGTAACGGTGACAGGGAGCTCCCTTTTTTTTTTTTTTTTTGCTGAAGTGTTGATTTTGGAAGGCTGGCACAGAATAAGGGCCGATGATGAACGGGTGCAGTAGGACCAGGGTTGAAAAGCAGCCTGGGGAGCCCAACACTGACACGATTGTCCCTGCTTCTCCTCAGAAGTGCCGGACTGACATCCCAGATGACTGGACTGCTTAATGAATGTTTTCTAAATGTCACCTGCAGTCAGTTTCGTTGGCTTACAGTACTCTCCACAATACCTGGAAATGTCCTATCTGAACTTCCCCTACTGAACAAAAGCTCGCTTCCTAACAGGTAATATTTTTTCTGGAAAAGCATTCCAGAAATGTTTAAAATATATTGCAAATACTTGAAACAGGAACATCTTCCTTAAAGGTCCTTTCTCTTAGTAGATGAAACTTGCAGTGTGCAGCAAAATATTTTGGCCCTAATAATTGAAATTATAGATTAAAACCTTTTTTTAAAAGAAAAGAAGCATTTTAGCCACACTCCAATTTTTATTCTGTTGAAAACAATGACTATTTTGACTTGGAAAAAGTGAGGATTTGTTCTTATTATTGTAATTGTTTCATACAACTATTTTAACGTTTACCTAACTGACTTAAGAAAAGCTGACAAAAAAAACCCACCAAACCACATTTTCTTTTTCTGAGCAAAATTAAACTTTCACACACCACAATTGATTTGTGCTCTTCATCATTAAGCTGAAAAATGTCATCTGGACTTGCTAACACTGGGAGATGGATCCTATGGAGTGATAAGACACTGCTTTAAGTACACTGTGGATGAAAAAATGTTTACTGACTGCTTAGGTCTTAAATAAGTAGGATCTCAGCCACCATGAGACAGCAATAAGGAAATTATACCAATAAAACCCCTGGTCTAGTGTAAAGATTGTGCAGTTATTTCTGTGCACGCGCCGCCAAGGACAACGTAATCCTAGTAACTGCCTTTGTAGATGCACAATAAACCTCTCATCTCCTTTCCTATCCTCTCTTTACTCAACTTTCATTACAGACCTGAGAAAAATCAGGCAGTGGTAGAGTATATTGAAAGTTTAAGAAAAAAGCTTTACCGCCAGAGTTAACCTACTGCATTTTTTGAATCTCAGCTTGAGTTCATGTTCAGTTTGTGTTATAAAGCAGGTGAAGTTTCAAAATAGCTCTTGCTTCATCTAAACCAGAGAGCATTAACTCATCTAAGTCTAAAGTCCCCTTGCACAAACTAAATATAGGAAAAAGTAATTGAAATACTCAATCTAAAACAAGTCCCCTTCAGATCATGTTATAAATTGCTATTCCTAAAATTGTAGAGAGTCATCAGTAATTGCATTTTATCTCAATCCAAAGCATTCACATGTGTTTTGTCCAGCATAATTTAAGGGAAAAAAAGACTCATGTGAATGGCCTTACTGAAAACCAAATAAAATTCGACTGGAGCTATTAGGAGCCACTAATATGTAGTCAGAGGCTATTGGGGGAGGTAGGTTGACAAACGAAGGAGGAGGACAGTGAACGAGGGGAAAGAAGGGAAGCTGGCAAGCTGGAGCAAAGAACATTGATTAATGAACAAAAAACATTTTTGAAAGGTCGGGTGCTCAAGTAAGACTAGCCCTGAGGCAGATCTAACTTACATGACCAGCACTTTCTGTACGCAGCAGGTAACCCATGCTGACACCAACTTTGCCGACATGACAGGGTTATTATTTTTGGAAGGATGTAGTGTTCTGGAACAATTTCTCTAATATATTAGTTAAAACTAAGCTTTCCTTCAATACCAAGCATGCATGTCTTCATTTTCACCATGTTTACACTGAACTCCTATCATTATTCTAGCCAATGAAAACAAAAAGCTTATTCTTCATTTATAAGCACTTGTATTTTCCCCACTGTAATATATCCCAGGGCAGCAGTGCTGTATATATGATTGCATTCAAACCCAGATGCTCATCTGGAGCTCACCACTTATGCTAAGTTTTGCTGTGGATGCTAACCATTGAAGGCTTAAATTTGCCTCACCTCAGCACAGATCCTAGGATCTTTTGAAACATCCCTTAAGGTTATAGGCTAATACCAAGGTGAAAGAACAAAAAGGTAGAATTATTCAAGGTACAACACCTGGTGGAGGAGGTTTTCTAAAATCGTGACATCAAGTTTTTGTTGTCTGTTATAGAGTAACAAAGACAGGGAATCATCAGAAGGTCATTTAACTTTCATTCAACTTCTCCTCCTGGTCCTCTATTTTAAGTGTATTTGCCCAAGACCTGCACCCTGGTTCACTAGATTAATAATCAAGTTTGGTGAAGACACTAATTAAATGTCCTGTGTGAGACTCAAAGAGGACTTTAAAGCATACTCTGGAAAAATGGTAGAACTACCAAGCATTTCTCTCAGACCTCTCAAGCATAAAAACCACATCTAAGCAGTTACTGAGGTGCCTGCACAAGCTCGTAGAAACTAACAGAAAGACAAGTAGTGGACTTTGCACACAATCCTCACAAATCCATGACAGGAGTTCCTCTGCGTTGAGGAGCAGCTGGACAAAAGACAGGTCAATCTGAACTAGCTCTTGCTTAGTATGAAGAACAGAGATGTGCTGTTTTGAACAGGGGATATTCCCCAGGTAGGAGCGAAAGCAGCAGGCAAGACCCAGGAGAAACACGATGCTGAAAGCAAGAGGCAGGGCAAGGCCTAGTCACTCAGTCATACTGCTCATAGTCTTCTCCTTTGAATGAAGCCTGAGAAGACAATACTTTGTCTTCAAGGCAGTAAGCAGGATGCACGCGTCCTGCCTAGGGAAGAGTCCCAGCTCAGTGATTTCTCTGTCAGATACATGTATTTGTTATAACATCGTGTGACAGGCACATTCACAGTTTCCCTCTCTAAATGCATGCTTCTTTCCATATCAACAGCTGTATTTGCAGACACACTGTTCATTATCCATTACAGATGATAAACAATTAAAAAGCAGAAAACGTGACTTAGCAACACTTTATGTAACACAAACCCAATAGCTGAAATGACCTATCTGCAAGTAACTAAAAGAATCAGTGCCATACATAAAAGTTGCTTTATCTGAAAGCTCTTTGGGATAGGGACTGTCTGTTCTGTATCTATACAACACTTCGCACGGTGGAAGGGGTGGAGGAGGAAATCAAGTATTCAGGTCATACTTCAAAATAAATAATTGAAAACAGAAAAAAACCTCTCCTCCTCATTCTACCAATGCCTCATAACACACACACAAAAAAACTGCACTGAGATGGGTGTTGTTTTTCGAACCGTAAAGAAGGTTTCCTGTGCCAGAGAGTTTATCTGAGACCAATGTTTCAACCAGCACTAGGCATTAGCTACAACAGTGAGCAACTGACACACAACAATCCTGCCACGCACAGCATGCTTAGGCAGGAAAATATGTGTGCCTCAGTCGCAGAAGACAGAATAGAGCCTCAAGTGTTTGGTCTCCTTCCAAAATAATCCAAATGCTGCTTTTTTGGCAAATGGGGGTCAATGGAGCTAAAAACTCACAGAAGGATTTGGGCATTCATGTGTTTATATACACCCACTCGTTCATTTATTATTCTAAAGCTACTTTACAGAAATCAAATTACATAGCTGACAAGCTGCATAGATAAGAGAGAATAAAAGTAAAATTTAAAATTAGCTGACAACACTATGTGATGTAGTGTGTATTTGGCACTTTTAGAGTGAGTGATGAGGGTTAACCTAGGGGAAAAAAATTGCACCCTCCTAAATTGCACCTTAAATTATTAAATAAATTATGAACATGATGGAATGCATTAAATATATAAGCCTGAAGGAGAAAGAGCGGATGTGTTTTAACGTTCAAAGCAAAGATAGCATATTTAAGAAGTGTTGCTTACGGTCTGGATACTTTGTCCAAAGTAGATTTCAGTGTTGTAGAAGTTTCCACCATGACTAACAGGCAGAGTTGTCCTGGCCTGAGGCTGCTCCTTCAGTTTGGGCCACTCCAGCAAGCCACCACCTAAGCGGCTGAGAACAGAAACTTTGAGGGTATAATGGCCTTTAGGGACCTTATCTTTGACTCCCCTCAGGCATTTGAGGTGAATTTCTATCAGCTGCGGTGTCTTGGAGCAGTCAACCTAGGGAGAAGGCTCAGAGTTAGTGACCTGGGTTGAGCTGACTTTAACCACACAATTAGCAAGAACAAATTTCTTCAAGAACATAACTACCAAAAAGCAGACAACATGCTTCTTGTTCAACCTGCAATTACCTATTGCTAACCAAGGATCTACAATTAGGGAGGTCAAAAGTCATAGAGATGGCAGATAAAAAAAAAATAATACAAATACTACTAATAAAATGTTCGGCATCCTTGGGGGGAAGGTGGAGCCGTTGAAGTATGACACCAGAAGCCATTAATCTGCAATAAGAAGGCAGAATTAACTGGAAAACAACACCTTCAAACATACAGCATACTTTCCAAGACAGGCACAATACGTGACGTGATGAGCAGGCTGCAGGCGCAGACTGAAAGACAGGGCAGGCCATGTTTTCATACTAATTATTAGCCTTGCCAAAGCTATTAGTGCTGTGTAATACGTAGACTATCCTTTCACCTTCTGATTATCATATAATCAGATTCTCTTAAAAATAGTAATCAAAGTGCAACACGTGTAGAGTTTAATAACAACTCCCTACAGGCACCTTTATTCCAAGTCCAGACAAAAGGAAACATCTGCTGCTTGCTGTTGACAAGATGTTGTCTGAGTTACAGAATGTTTAGCATGGAATAAATGCTGTGCTGCGTATCATAAATGCCTTTCTGGTGCTTTCCTTGTATGCTCAGCTTACAGCATGGAGGTTGGCAGAGGGGAACAGACACAGTGGTACGATCCTTACAAGTCTTGCCCTAGTAAAGGTGTGGGGACAGCCCCACGATGCCAGTGGATGCTTCAGTGCTGCCCAAATGCAATCTGCAGGGTCGGGCACATAACAAGGAGTCCCAGTTTGGCTCCAGTGGTGATTTCCATGGATAAAATTGCTTCCACAATAACTAATTATTTAGTGCTTCCAATCAGCAATCTCTTTTTTTTTTTTTCTCTCCAAGGAATCAATTTCTTCTGTTACTTTGAGAAAACACTACTGTTAGGTCGTCTTCTTTTAATGCTATGTGATACAAGAATCCATGCTGCACTTCAGAATCAAATGGCTACCTTGACTACTAGGTTTAGTAGTCTCACAGTTTAAGCCTACAGTAGCTAATAATCTCTTCTTTAATCCTGTCTTGGATTTATTTTGGAAGAGATAGTATATTTCCATATAGATAGAAAGCTTCTAGAATTAAATTAAGCAGTTAAATAAACAGTTGAATTTGTTAAACTTCTTTTGTTTCTCAACACAAACCATACTTAACAACTAATCTGAATGACAATTATTTTCAGCTTAATTAGAAAATCTTAATTAACAATGAAGATTTAACCTTAATATTTTTGGTTTCTGAATCATATATAAAAAAATTAACATTATGTGAATAAATAAGACAATCTTTTTAAACCTCAAGGCAGGATTACTGATGCAGGCAGACTTCGTTATTAAACACATTCTAAATTAAACGCCTCTATGAATTTTATACTGAAATATATTGTGATAGTTTTGCATGCCAAATGTGACATTTTGTATTTTAGATTCATCTTCTGTAGTAATTTTGGAAATGTCATACAAACAAAGATTTTGTCATTTACCAATGGAATTACTATGCATGGCCGGTTAGCCATCTCTTTTCTGGCTCTTCTGGTTGTTTCAAGTCAGCAAGCCATAAAAAATCTTTATCTCTCTGAAACACAGCAATTTGGAAGATAATCGAATAGTGACTGGGGGGCAGAAACGCCAGTCTGAGGAATTATACCACAATCTCTCTTGCATTTACAACCTTCCTCAAAGCGAGTGTCAGTCGAGTAGGAAAAGGAGATAGAAGATTCATCATATTTCAAGCCTGTCTCATTTGCATGGTGGCATAGCTGTCTCATCTCCTGCTGAAAGACTTTGCTTGGCCAGCGCTGACAAACTATTTTGAAGAACTCTTGCCATGCCCAAATGATTCATCATTAATAGCTTTAGACATTCTCTTTAAGCATATGGTTACTTCTGCTGGAAAGCACATTTTGAAACCTGCTAAATTCTATCCTCTTAAACTATGAAAAGGGGAAAAAAAAAAAAAAGGAATAATAATGCAATGCAACTGATCTAGTCATTCAGCAGTTCACATCAGGGAAAAGAGCACAAATGGAGAACCTCACCTTCCCACAAGGTCCTGCTGCTCCATTTAATCCAGTATCCACGCCTGCAAGGTTACCCAAGCTGGCTACCATTTCTTCTTCACATTCATTCTGCTCTGCTTTCAACAACTGACGTCCCACTCTGCAGCAGTTAGAAAGGGAACAGGGAAGAAGAACTGAAAATAAGTGCACTACAATGCAGACACAGGAAGCACTTGCCATCGGAAACACATTGCAGTTTGACATTTTCCTTGAATATATCGTAAGCCTTGCAGGGCATCCAGGAGAAACAACAGTGTGCTAAGCAGAGAAATGACTAAGCTTCAGAAAGTGGCATTCGAAAAATGCAGTCACAGCCCCAGTAACACGACTGGTATCTGTCAGTCTGTGCCACAGGTTGACATAAGGAACCTAAGGTTTCACTGCCCGTGTATAACCAGCTCTGTCTGCTGTTGGGGCTCGGGTTCTAGGTTCAGAATATTCAAGTAGGAAGCCATTGCCTCTGTTGACACTTTAAGAACCAATTGACAGCTTCAATAAACTGCAACAGGCTTTTGGAAACCATCGGTTCCTTGATGCTTTAAACAACTGAAAAAAAATCTTATTTTATATATATAAATCTTACCCATTCTTTTTCCCCAAAACATATTATAAATTTATATATAAGCCTTCTATCATTTATAAATCTTCTAAAAGGTCTCATTTAGACCAAAAAACTATATATAAAAATTATATGCCAGATATACATATATATACACACTCATATATGCACATACACAGATTTTCAGCTGTATGTGAACCATTAAACCTTCTTTAGCATTCATATGTTAACTTCTTGTGTAGTTAAAGTAACTTTGGGGGTAATTATATCAACTCAAAGTTTGTTTTCTTTTTAAAGAGAGGTCACCGTAGCAATGCAGAAGTCCAGCAAATAGCATAAGAATAGCCCTACACTTGACACACGAGCGCTGCCCTGCTTAGTGCACAGGATAAACAGAAGGCATTGTACCCTATGGAGAAAACCTTGTTCTTAGAGCACTGCAGGAGCAAATGCAAAATTAAGTCATTTACAATAAACATTACAAAGCTGTGTGCTTTGGCAATCCCATCCCATCTTTCAGTGGACACAGAACCATGAGAAACTCCTCTGTCCCTACTCAGCACCAGTATCTAAATTAAAGTGACCCTAAGTAAAAACATTTGTAGATGCTCTGCTGGCTTCAAAACACTTCAGCTCTTGCTTCCACGACCCTCTTTAAAAGGCTGGGAAGGGTCAGTCAGCCACACCAGCACTGGGGATGCTCCAGCCACACTGGCATGTGGAGCTGGGGCAGGTAGCAAAGCACAGGAAAAGACACAGGAGCTGGAGGCTGTGTAGGCTGTTTATGGCCAACGGCCAGCCATGTGCTACTCTGAAGTTCATGGGAGCTGCTTGCCATGTACTGAGAGGAGTCATAAAGACTAAGGAGAAATCACTGCATCAGGTACAGCTGCAATTCAGGATTAGCTTGGGCATCTACAACACAGGCAATCAGAGGATGGGCTCTCTTAGATTGCCAAGCCATGTATGCAGTTTAAACTTTTAGCCCCAACAATGGAAAATGCTAAAATTTGGTGTTCATTTAAAAAAAAAAAAATCCAAAACAATATTTCCCTGGCCTGCACTTCTGAAGCATTCCTTCAGTATTTTCTGACTTGCTTTTGGAATATTCAGTTCCAGTGTATTCATTCCTTTTTCCTCCTTTGTATTCTAGGTGATAATGTGAGAAGCCTCCACATTTGTACAAATAACATGTTTCTGTATCAAGAAAACTATTTGTAGAGACTCTGAGACTCTGCAAATCACACTAAACATCCCAGTCTGTCTCCAAGTTCCTGGCACATTGCTACAAATCAGTTTCTACTCAGACCTTGCCTATACCTTTTTTTTTTTTTCTTCTAAGAAACATATATACACATTTACAGCAGTCAGATTACCGCTGGTGCATAGTTAAGCTGTTTTCCAGATTCCTCTACCAGTAGAATTGTAAATGCCCAGACAATAGCTATATCAGTTGGAAGGTCTGTGTAGACACTAGTCCCAAATACATACATAGGAATTTCGCCTAAGCTAGGACCAATGAGAATTAAGGACAAAATTTGAGTGCTGAGGACTGAATACGAGAAGCACAAGTCAACCACCTTTGAGGTTTTATCCTTGAGATGCAGTCAAGACAACTTGGGTCCAGTTGTCCTAAAGTAACAGAAGATGCTTGTTGAATGTGTCTAGCTAATTTGTAGAGCTGAAACATCTGAGAAGTTAACTTCTCTCCTCTAGAAGAATGGTCTGTTTGGAACTTCGTACTTATTTAGTTTCTCATGATGGAAATTATTTCACTTAATTTGGTTAGAGCTGCATTGACACAGGGGTTCATTAGGACACCCATTTTCTTGCAATTCAATTTAAAATTAAATACACTTTGTTGTTGATTTTATTACTTTTAAACTACTGTATCTATTGCCTTTATTAGCTGCTAATACACAATTATGAAGGTAAACAGTTTTCATTACTGAACATCAAACATTTAAATAACCGCACTTGATCTCTTTTCGGGTTGCATCATTTTTCTCCTTTCCCTCTTTTTTCTGGGTATTAGATTCAAGAGAATAATTTATTCAGTGAAGATAGGCCTCTTCTGCGCTCACCAACATGCTCATTAGCTGTCAGCAGAATATAGCTTTCTTGGCTGTATCCATGAGGATTATTTATTTCCTCCATGCATTTCTTTACGATAATTTGATGCGTATATTTATCTGAAAGTCACCTATAGCTTGATCACAAAAACATGGTTCTAATTCAGATTTCTTTCACTCTCTAATGGTAATTCAGAAGCAGGAATGAAGGGTGCCATTTGGTCACCTTTTGAAGTGCACTGCGTGTAGCACTTAAAAATTACAGTCCAAGCTGGGTATCTGAAAACAGAGGTATCCAAAACAGAGGCCTCTTTCAGAAGTTTGGTCAAAGTTCCACTCATTGATATCTGTAAAGCACTGAAAGACCTTTGGAAGGAAAGCACATTAGATAGAAGTACAAAGTAGACCTTATCTGACATACCTTTGAGAGAGCTCATGAATCCTGGCTCGCAGCTTTTGTTTCTCATGGTGAGAGACTTTCTTGTGGTGCTTTGAGTCCCACGTGCCACAAAGGAAAAAAAAGAAAAAAACCTACATTTTGTTTTTGAATGTACAGAAAGAACATGGAAATAAAAGCCACAAACATGCAAATTTCCAAAGGTTTGCCTTAGGTCTTCTGGTTGAAGGTTTTCAGAAGCAATTAGGAATTTCAGCCACCATTACTTTATTGCACTATTTTTTCCATAACTTTTTTCCATACAGTTTTTCTATATGTTTACTCCATTATTGCCAAGGGAAACTGACCTCTAATCTTGTTTTAAAAGCTTGATTGTTACCATGTATATTTGTGCATGGTAGTGCCTCTACAGTCCTTATTTTCACTCCACCTAACAGTCATGTATGTGCATCCACTCATATATACATGTGTAAGTGTGCTTGTACACACACCCAACAAAACGTTAACATGCAAAACAGTCATAGACTACCAGAGACCCCACAACTTGCCCCACTTTAAATCTGCTCCAGATCTTGAAGCCTTGTGTCACCACAGCTGTTTTTAAATGTTTGGTAAGAGGGACTGGCATTTTTGGATGCTGCAACACATAGGAGGCTAACTTGCAGGAGCAGTCCTCTCCCCTTGCAGTTCTGCAGCTCTTAGGCATGAAGCTGGAGGGCCTCAAGTTATTTTACTCTTCTACAGCAAGCTGGAAAAGTCAGCCCTTCAAGAAACCAGCATCCACATCTTTTTTGGACTGTGTTCTCTGTGCAAAACTTGAAAACAATAACACCACTGAAGGTTGTGGTGGTCAGGAAAACAATCAGGAAAACAAAATTCTTCTACCTGACCTATTCAGAGGTCTTGCTGAATATTCAAGGTATATCTCATGTTTCCTACTGGTGTCCCTGAGATCATCTCAACATGTTCATGCAACATTAGCAATATACAAGGAGTCTTCCTATCATATGCCGTATACTGTCATCTAAACAGTAGAAAATTATGTTCCACTTCCACTCTCACCAAGCCTCAAAACCAAAAAGAACATTTTGGTAGGGAAATAATGTAATAGTCAACAGGAAAAAAAATCCCCATCAGAGGCTCTGTATCTGGCTGTTGAAATCTCTCCTTTCTTCCAAATCTCTACATATTTTCACAAATATCTGCCTGTTTTCAAGGAAGCTTAGCACTTTCCATTGAAGACTAAGCCACTGGAAAAATTATTTGCAAAGCATCCTTCTTATTTCCCAAATGAAAATTATCAGAATATAAAAACAGACTACAAAAACATATTACCAAAGCCTGTGTGAGTAGCTTTTACCATAACTTGTTTAAATCCTGTAAAATCAAAGCAGAGACAGGTTGCCTTAAAATACAGCATGATTTTTTGGTAGTCCCAGCAGAGAGCCTCAGACAGATGCAATAATTCCTCCAGGCCCCACTCAAATAACACATGTACACAATTGCAAAGGTGACACGACCAAACTAGCTCAAAACGAGACCTTCCAGCGCTCTGCGTGGCAGCTGTGTCATTGGCAACACTCCCTCCACCACTGCTGCTCAGTTAGTGGAAACCAAGCCCTCCTGCTCCTGGACAGCATTGGGCTGAACGTCAACTACGAATCCCTGGAGCAGGGACCAGGACTCACTTCCCTCCCGCCTCCACAGATGCTGGCACTGATTTTCTTTCCCCAGCCCAGTGAATCACCACCAACGCCGCTTCCCCAGGAAGGGCTGGGAGCTGGCTATGATCCCGGCTCTGCTCGAGCAGAGTTGGCAGCCAGCTGTCTGGTTAGGGTGATTGGACCCACCTCGTGCCACTTCCGACAGTCCAGTGGGGACTGTAAGCCACCAGGGAATGTGCTGAGAAAAAAGGCAGGTTGCTCCTCCGTGGCTGCCCCACAGAGACATGGTCTTGTAGGCATAGAGAACCCAACAGTGACATTCATCATCCCTGTGAGGAGCAGGAGCCATTCTGCCATGGCTGGAGTGTTTGAGAGGGTCTCCAGCAACAGAGCTCAAAGTCCCTGAGAAAGTTTAATGACAAAAACTACTGACTGAAAGACATCAGGCATTTCCAGAGTTTGGTGGCAGATAGAAAGGGGTTTAAAGTTGTGCTGAAGTAGTTAAAGCTAAAGTTCTGAAGGCAGGAGGGCTCGATTCATTGTTTGTCTCCTCAATCCAATTCTTGGTGATGCCTGGAATAGTGATTTTTCTGAGGTGGGCACTTAGATTATGAAATAGCATGAAACAGAAAACTCACTTCACTTAAAATATCAAGTAGCCATAATATTACAACATCCAGACATTACCAGTCCAGGCTTACACTGACCCAGAAGCAGAGAAATTTTTATTTTTTTTAAAATTGATTATATTACCAGACTCCCATAGCTACCCAATTCCATTGTTTATCTTCCTAATCTTAATTAAATAATGAATATTCAAAAGAAAATATGAATCAGGGTTCTCTGTATGAACTGCACTGTTTTCTGTCTCTCTGCCTCTGAAGTGGCAATGGAAATATGATTTAAAACTATTTCTTCTGAATCCTAGTAAAATATTTGTCACAGTGTGTCATGATAATTTTTAAAAAGCTCTATCACCTAGCTAATAAATTTGTTAAGTTTATTCAAATCTTATTGAACAGGAAAACTGCAATGAGTCATGGTTAATATTTCTTTACCTACACTAAGAAATAAAATATATCAAAAATTCAATGCTTAGGGTCCTATTCAGAAAACCTCTATGAGTCTGTAATACATCTTCTACATGATTAAAAAAAAAACAACAGGAAACTTGCTTTAAAATGAATTATTCACCACCTTGAATAAATTTCCATCTTTCCTATTTGCAAAACCCCAAAGTCAGTTATGTAAATTTTAACCTACACTAATTACCTCAGGGGTGTGCAAGCTAAAGGAAAGTAGATGCAGTAGAAAAAAAAAATCCCAGACATTTCCATCACCAGGAAGCAATTTAATAGAGGAAAAAATGTGTAAGTTTTCAAAAACAGAGCAGCCCATATATATATATATATATTTTTTTTTTTAATGTGGAATAATCATTGCTGCAATACTGCTTGAATCAGAGACTTACTGTAATAAACCCAAGTGCTTTTTCTCAATGCCATATACCATCAAACACATAGCTAAGCTCTTGTTTCTCATCATGACACCAGCATTGTCTAGACTGTAAAAACGACCCATTGTTGACAATGGGCGTTCCCAAAAAGAAGGCATGAAATGTGGTTTAGCTTCAAGTTGATATAGACATCGATGGCCTCTTCAGAAAAAAAAGCCATTAAAATCTGGGAACCACTGGATATCCTTCAGAGCTCGCCTGGGATATACTGGAGAAAGCGGGGTGTTGTTTGAAGGCAGAAGGGCTCAATCACAGCATGGCTTTGTCTCATCCTGATACCAGGTGTACTTTAGCTGTGAGCCAACACCTTCACACATCTTTCTCACTTTCTTCATCAGCTATCTTAAGGTCTAATTACACAAATGGCCCATCTACTCATTTCAGAGAACATAATCAAGACCAGTATTTGAAAAAGGTCTTTTCAGTCTGGGCTCAGTTTAGAGGCACACAATGGTAAGTATTGTTTCTACTGCAGACAAAAACAAGTACCTGACTCAATACTATTAATCAGTGTTCAGTCACTATTTTCACTGTGAAACTACTTCAGAAATAATAGGACTTGATTCACAGAATTCCTATAGATTCCTATAGTAATTTTCAATTCGGAAAAAAATTACACAAACCCCACCCAAACACATCTTTTCCTCTTAGGAGTAAGCCCATAAAATTCAGAAAAGCTTTGAAGCAAAGTGGAATTGGTTTTCTATCGCTTAGCAAAAATGGAATATTTAAGGAAAATATTAAACCTCTCCTTTTTGGTCAGTCCTCATCAGGTCAGGGTGCAGCAGAGGCATTGCAGAGACACTACCAGTGGGGTCCAGCAGCCTCCCACTGCCCACAGGGATCCCACATGCAGAGGATCCCAGTGCTTTCCCTTTGTTCTATTCCTTGAGAAATCACACCAGTACATCACAGTACAGGTAGCGCTGTCTTTTCAGCCATAAACAGATGCCCAAATAAAAGCTTTTTCCTAGGATTGCCACATCTGCATCCCAAAACATTTTGCACTGATGGAAATCATGTCCACTCCATTTTCACACATGGAGAAGTGAGTGACTTTTGCCTGAGCTCACCAAGCAAAGTGTCAGCAGGACTAGAAACAAAACCCGTGTCTAGAACCACCGGTGCCAACTAGTCCTCCTCCTTCAAACTCTGGCTCCTGCATGGAGATTCACTCCCAAGCGACTTTCAACATCTAAAGCACTGTATACCAGAAAACGTGAAAAATGAAGAATCATTTGAGATGGAAAAAAAACCCAACCCATTTTAAGTTAAGATTCCTTTCAGGCAAAGTGAGATTTTGAGAGGCTTATCCTCTCTATGTTAACTACAGATAGACCACAGGGAAGTTAGGCATTGAGAGGTGAGCTCAATGAGTGCCCTTCACTGAAAGCAGAGACTCTGGTAGCTGGATAAGGCTGGCTCTGAAAATCGCACTGCCTGTTGGAATTTGGGTGATCTTCTCTCGGAGATGGCCACAAACCAGGAGTTAAAGTTGTGTCAAAATCCTGGACACATGGTAGTACTATTCACAGTGCACTCTGCCAAAAATGTGCCACAAACTCTCAGACATGTTTTTAAAAGAGAAAGAGAAAAAGCAACAAAGTACACACCCCACACCCTCCCGTGACTTTCCTTCCAAATAGAAAATTAAAGTAATTTACTGTTCATGAGCGTAAAATTAAAAACTTGGACAACTGAGACATTTGTAACAGCTAGGGGAAAAAAAAAAAATCATACTCTCTTAAAATTGATACTGCAGAACACAAAGTGAGATTTACTTTAGTCATGCTACAGCCTTATTACACTGAGTAATACAGATACATTTAGTGACATTACAGGCTGATCATTTTGATAAATTTGTAAAGCATTACATTATCTCTAACAACGCAGTGAAGGCTGAGCTACCAGC